GAGATGGCCTTAGCTAGTTGTTCCACCACCGCATTTGTATCTCTTTCCCACACCTTCATTCATGTATTGATTAAGATGGTTGAGGGCTCTTTATTTTTCTCTCTTTTATTTTCAACAAGAGGTATTCTAAATTACTTTAATTTATGCGGGAGAAGATCAAATTTAGATGTAAAAAACGAGTACACTACCTTGACTAGATGATCTAGATTATGTTGGGCTGATCAATTTAAAAGCTTAAAATTTGGGGCATGTGTTCATGAACATGTGATTGAAAATAAAAGCACACAGTATACTAGTTTATGCCTCTTGGAGAGTTGAGTTGCTCACCCAAAAATCACATGAATTGTTGGCATGACATCAATGTTGCTTTCAATATACTCTTAATTATTAAGTCACCCCAGTCAATCACAGATCTGTATTTATGGTGAGTAGCAAACAACTCATGTGACCAAGTTATATACGTATGTTTATGGGGTGTGTAATATTCAATATTTTTAATATGAAAATTTCTTCAATACTATGTAGCATTGAATGATATGAGAATGAACGATTAAAATTAGAAATAGAAGATCTAAATCATCACGGGGTGGTCCAGTGATTGGAGACATATTCCACCTGGCACGTAATGGGTTTGGTTCCTGGCTTGGTGAATTGCACGATAGTGCTCAGGGGGAGGCTGAAATGCTTCTTTGAGTCTTCATGGCCCCCGGAAGGGTGGATTGCCGTGACAAAGCCACTAGCTGTTTCCATTTCAGGAAAAAAAATAGAGATAGAAGAGCTAAACAGCTAAGACACCTGTACCAATGAAGCCACACCTATGATACACAGCATTGAAGCCACACCCTCTTATTATGACCCATATCCAGGGAGGAGCTGGAAATGGACATATGACCTAATAACACAATCAAATACTTTTAACCACTTGAACTACAAACGGAGCATGTCGAAAATCAAACACAAGCCCAAAGTGGTATTATTGATTTTCTAAGTTTTATTTCTTTCAGCAACTTTTAGTCAGAGCAACTTTAAAGCTGTAAACCCCAGACCACCTCCTCTCTCTTAAATAGGGATTGCTTTCACTAGTGAGAAAACAGTGCAAAGGCAGAGAGATTTGGATAGGTCATCTTTATTGACATGTACTGCAAAGAGGAAGATACACAGAGTAATGCTGTGTGATATTTTAGGCCACAAGTTTAAAGTAATTTGGAGACATTGCACCATAACATAAAAAGGACATCTAGCTTTGGAAAGGACCGGCAAATTAATGGGTTTTACTATGCCACGGTTCAAAGAAATTTGGAAGCTGTACCATACCATAAAATTGACTTCTAGCTTTCATTTGAAAAGGATGGCAAGTAAATACTACATCTAAGCTATCTTATCAGTATTTGAATCAAGAAAACTCCGATCGTTTATTAAGAGAGCACGAGCATATAATCTGAAAAATGATAAATTTTTTGCCTAGGTTCGGACTAAATAAACACTGTCAGAACTTGCATTGCCTCCAGAGCGAATTGGAACAAGATTAACAAGAGGTTCAACTAGTGGCGAGAATACTGAGATTGTCCTTAAGGAGCTAGCTATAGCGGGATTGATGAAGCGGTTCAACTAGTGTAAATAACATTAAAAAGCTTCAAAAAAGTTCAGCTTTCTCCGTTTTGGATCATATCAGTTAAAGCAATCACAGGTAGAAGAGCGAATCATAAACGAAACAGAATGACAAATAAAATTCGATGCATAATATACGCAAAGATTGTATTATTATTCACTAATTCAGTTGCAAGAAAGTGGCTATTGTACAACCAAGTTTCCAGTAAATTCACTTGGTTGACAAGCTCACAAATCAGGAAAGCGATCTGATCAGGAGTACCTAGCTGCGCTGCTTGGGGTTGTAAGAGTGGATCGACACGAGAAGTACTTGGGGCTCTCTACTTTCGTCGATCAAAATAGAGGGGCATGTTTTAGTCATATCAAGGATAGTCTATGGAAGAAACTGCAGGGATGGAAAGGTAAAACTATCACTGCAGCGACAAAGGAATTGCTAGTCAAAGTGGTGGCGCAATCGATCCCGCTTTATTCCATGAGCTGCAATCTATTGCCCTAGTATTTATGTGACGAACTGCACCAATTATTTTCTTCTTATTGGTGGAATGAGTCTAAGAACTCTAGGAAAATCCATTGGGCGGCTTGGGATAATCTGTGTTTGCTCAAAAAAGAGGGGGGGGGGGGGGAGCTCGGGTTTCGTAATTTATACGCTTTTAATCTTGCACTTCTGGCCAAAAAAGGGTGGAGGATCATCCAGGAGCCTATTATTTCCCTCACTCCTCCTTCCTTGAGGCAGTGTTCGACCTAATGCTTCCTATGCGTGGCGTAGCATTTGTGCCACTAGAGAAGTTATTTTGGGGTGAGGCAACCTCTCCCTCTCCAAGTGTTGTTGTGAGACGCGCCATTGATTGGTGACAGGAATACCTTAGGATCAACTTCAGGCCACCTCTGCCCAAAGGCATGCTCCCATTCAGAAATGGTCTTGTCCTCCACCTGGAAGGCTCAAACTTAATGTGGATGGTGCCTGGTGCAAGGAAACTAATCTGGGCGGTGTAGGGTTGATATTCTGGGATTCAAATGGAACTTTTGTGGCTGCTACGAGTAGGAGATTTGGGGACATCTTCTCTCCTATTCACATTGAAGCACTTGCAATTAGAGAGGGTCTTTTGATGGCGATCGAAAGGGGTGTACAAAGCATTTCGTTGGAAAGTGATTCACTTCAGATCATTTCTGCTTTAAAGGAGTCTTCTTTGAATGTGTCTACTATCGAACCTATCATTGAAGACACCATATCCTTATTGCTCTTGGTCACTGAAGCTACCGCGTACAACGTTCGTCATCAAGCTAACTTTGTTGCCCATAGGCTTGCTCGTTTTGCCCTCTACGGAGGTGGTTGTACTTGGTTTGATGAAACCCCCTCAATGATTCGTGATTTAATTGAGGAGGATCTCTCCATCCCTTGCTAGCCTATTCTTAGCTTTTAATTAAATCATATTGTATTTTATCAAAAAAAAAAGTATGTCATGCATGTCAAATTGCCTAACTTGGATTACACGTTTGAAAGAAACCTGCATTACATGTGTTGTGTGGTTTAGAATTATTAGATTGCCAATATCGTAACATAACACGCTAAATTGTTTGACAACATAAACAATATTAATACGCCAATAAAATTGTGGTAATGACATGTAAAGGGTCACAATCCTAGAGACTAACATGCACCACTAAATGGTCCCAATGAAATAATCATGCATGGCTATAATACACACATTGATTAGTCGAATCTTTCAGACTTATGACATGATTTCAATGTTCTTGGCATAACTTTAAAGTGATATATATGTTCATATCTTTCTTTTTAGTTCTAAAAGGGAGAAAGATACATTACTTATATTCTTAGTATGGTGAAACATCTCATCACCAAAGCAACATGTATAGCCATATTCCCAGTTGCTCCACCACCTCAGGTACAAGGCAGCCTTTTGTATCTCTTTCCCACATCTTGATTCATGTGCTGATTAAGATGGTTGAGGGCTCATCATTTTTCTCTCTATTTTATTTTCAACTAGAGATATTCTAAACTACTCTAATTTATGCAGGAAAAATTTGAATTTAGATGCAAAGTACTAGTACACTACCTTAACCAACTGACTTAAATTATGTTGGGCTGATCAATTTAAAGGCTTAAAATTTAGGGCATGTGATCATGAACATATGGTTAAGTAATGCACGTAGTATATTAGTTATGCCACTGGGAGAGTTGAGTTGCTCACCCAGAAAGTCACATGAATTGTTGGCATGACATCAATGTTGCTTTCAATAGACTCTAATTATTAAGTCACCCCAGTCAATCACAGATCTGTAAATAGGGTGAGTAGCAAACAACTCATGTGGCCTAGTTATATACGTACGTATATGGGGTGTATAATATTCAATATTTTTAATATGAAAAATTCTCAATATTATGCAACATTGAATAAAACGAGAATGAATGACTAAGACTAGAAATAGAAGATCTAAACCATCACAGAGTGCCCTAGTGGTTGGGAACGTATTTCACACGGCACGTCTTAGGTTCTATTCTTGGCCTGGTGAATCGCACGATGGTGGCCAAAGGGAGGCTGAAATGCTTATGCGAGTCTTCTTGGCCCGCTAAAGGGTGGACTGCCAATACTCTTACTTACTTGAACTACAAGCGGAGCGTGTCGGAAATCAAACACAAGCCCAATGTGATACTATTGATTTTCCAAGTTTTATTTCTTTCAGCAACATTAAAGCTGTAAACCCCGGACCTTCTCCTCTCTTAAATAGGGATTGCTTTCACTAGTGAGAACACAGTGCGAAGCCAGAGAGATATGGATAGGTCATCTTTATTGACATGTACTGCAAAGAGGAAGAACATACACAGAGTAATGCTGTGTGATACTTTAGGCCACAAGTTTAAAGCAAGTTGGAGACATTGCGGCATCACATAAAAAGGACATGTAGCTTTCGAAAGGACCGGCAAGTTAATGGGTTTTACTATGCCACAATTCAAAGCAATTTGGAAGCTGTACCATACCATAAAATTGACTTCTAGCTTTCATTTGAAAAGGATGACAAATTAATAATACATCTAAGCTATCTTATCAGTATTTGAATCAAGAAAATTCCCATCGTTTATGATGAGAGAATTAGCATACAACCTGAAAAATGAAAAAATTTTCGCATAGGTTCGGACTAAATAAACAGTGTCATAACTTGCATTACCTCCAGAGTGAATTTGAATAAGATTAGCAAGAGGTTCAACTAGTGATGAGAATACTGGCATTGTCTTTATGGAGCTAGCTACAGAGGGATTAGGAAGCGGTTCAACTAGTGTAAATAACATTAAAAAGCTTCAAAAATGTTCAGCTTTCTCAGTTTTGGATCATATCGGTCAAAGAAATCATAGGTAGACAAGCGAAGCATAAAGGAAACAGAACGAGGAATAAAATTCTACGCATAAAAAATGCAAAGAGTGTATTAATTCACTAATTCAGGTGCAAGCAACGCAATGGCTATTGTACAACGAAGTTTTCAGTAAATTCACTTGGTTGAAAAACTCACAAATCAGGAAAAGGATATAGATCATCAAACCAATTTGAAGAACTAAAGCTACCGTTCGAAACATGGGGGCACCTGACCGTCGGACTCCTTTCAACAATTTGAATGAAAGCTTCCAAATGACAATGACATCAAATCAATGCTTAAGTTTCTACCATCACTTAAGTGAAGCTTCGGTAATTCTGCTTCCAGATACCTGCACACACATAAAGATCAATACCTTCTTTCTTAACATGTCAACTTCACTGGTCTGACAAGGAGATATATTACCTTGTAGGAATGAGATTTGTGTTTCCATATATACAAATTTCAAAGATTCTTGGAGCGTTCGGATGATCTGTAAATACGATATGCAGCAATACACATTGTGGCATTGCCTATAACTGTCAGAGCTGCTTGAAGGGCCACCAATACCTACAACTCATTGAGGAGGAGGAACAAAGTCACTGTAGGTATTTTGCCTAAAAACTCAGTTCCTGTTGTAATTGAAGGGACAAATTCATAAGAATCTAGTGACTGGTTGTTGCAATTTACAATCATGATCAATAAATTGTTTTTTGTTTGAACCATTTCATTTTCCTGCCTCTTAAAATGTCCAATTTAAAAAGAGAAAAAAATAACATTGAAAAAAGGCCACCCTTCTTACCTCAAGAGACTCGGAGTTATAAAAGAAATGCCATGTGCATGCACATAGTGCTCCACCAAGCAGGGGAACCTACACCAATAAACTAAAAGTTAAACTGAGGCAGTAGACATTTGAATAGTTGTAAAACACCAAAGCAAGCTCTACATAAAGCTCCTCAACCAGCCAGCCCCCAACCCCCAGTTTCTTTCTTAAGGGATATATAGTAACTTGGAAATTAAACTTTTAACTTAAGACTAAATATGATATCAACACCATGTTGAAAGCCAAGTTCTAAAATATGAGACCCTAATCCGTTTGAATTGTAAAGTCGGTTAGTTAGACATGAGGCTGCCAACTTAAGTCGTAACTTGTGAGCTTGTTTGTTAGTGCCCTTATATTCTAACTTCCAAGTAACTTAACAAAATAAGAAATTCAAGGACGATATTTATTCAAGTTAGATGAGCATTAAGGAGATATTTTTTTTTTTCCAGGAAAACAATGGTTAACACAGAAGTACCATGGTAACAGAAATCTACCATTCCGTAGTACAGTTTTTGACCTTATAGTCAACTCATGGATATGCCATCACGAAGATATATTGGAGACATTTACCCAGTATTGGTAACTACACAAGTGAAGCACAAAGGACAAATCAATAAAATTATCTGGAAAACTGGTGACCCATTAAGTTCAAATCTTGCTTGCTGGCTCATGATAATACCAATACATGTGCTATGCTCTGAAAAAGTGGAAGCCCTGTGCTTTTGCTTATCTCCTCAGTAGAGTGTGTTGTGTAAAGACGAGGAAGAGTCAGCTGAGCATATGTGTTTACGTTGGTTCTTCACTAGTAAATTTTTGAGTAGATTGTTCCTAACGTTGGGTATAAACTGTTACTTCTTGCTGAGTTTGTGGAGATTTGGGAAAACAAGATGGTTTTCTGCAATTCGGGCCTCTATTCGGATTGTGGGGATGGAGTGGAATGGTAGGATATTCGACAATAGGCAGAGATATTCATCTCCCCACTTTTACTAAATCTCCCCGCTTATGTTTGAAAAAGATTAGTTATTTGATGCGACTAGTATGATTTTCAGCCGAAAAACTAGTGGAAACAAAGGGAACAATCTCTTAAAGTAGGTTAATGGAGTATTAGGTTCCACATTATTCATGATAACTAAGTTTAACAGACACAAAATCTGCTCTCTGGTTTAATCAATTCGACCGTTGATCACGAAACCAACCAATTTCGAACCGAAATTCATCGCGAGAATTTGAAAGACTGCACTCAAAACTCACCATCCCCACGACAGCCCTTTCCAAGATTCGAACCCGGACTTCTCCCCGTACTGCCACACCAACGTCATTGCTGTTATCCTTGCAACCAAACAAACCAAATTCAAATTACCAAAGCAACAAACCACTAGTGTGAAATATCCAACCAAATTTAACAACAAAAGGCAAATATTAAAACAAATTCACAAAACCCCATTTGCAAAAGTAGAACATGATGACTCTCTCTCACCATTCGACGACGCTGGACACGTGAATGGCCCAGGTGGGCAACGAGAGGGCATTGGAGGGTTCATTCAAGGGCAGCAGCTCAGAAGCTGAGGCGGCTTGGACAAGGGTCAGGGTCAGGGTCAGACCCGCCCCGAGTAGACCCACCAAGTTTTTCGGGTAATGGAGGGAATTTGGTGGTTGGGTTGGAGGTTTCGGGCGTGGAGGGAAAAGGGGCTTGTGAGGGGAAGTGGGGTTTGGGAAGTAGAGTAAGGGGCTTGTTTGGTATTGCTGTTATTTGAAAAAAAACTGCTGTGAGAATAGAATAAGCGGCTGTGAAATAAATCAGTAGAGTGTTTGGTAAACTTTTTTGTAAAAGTGCTTTTGAAAAAAAAAACAGTCTGATAGTGGGTCTTTTTATTAAAGAAGCACTGTAGCTCCGTGTGCTTTGAAAAAAAGTCAGTTTTCCAAAGCTGCAAATAGCAGCTTCAGCTTTTTCTCACAGCAACTTCCAAAATAAGCCATTTTTTTTCAGTTTACCAAACACCTAAAACCCTCACAGCTTTTTTTCATGGGTGCTTTTTTTTTAAGCACCTCACTCCCAAACCACCCCTAAGGAGCACGACTGAAAAGAATGCGACTATCGTTGGATTAATGGAAACTAATGAAAGAACCTTACGCCATCTCCAACCGAAGGGTTCAGAAAATTAGATAGTCGAAAATAGTCTTCAGATCGTTTCCAACCGAAGGCTAGACCAAAGGTCTTGTGGGCCCCACCAGGTCAAAAACTAGACAATCAGGCCAGCGGACTGGCCATCTCCAGCCAGCCCGATCATGCCAACCCACATTTTTTTTTTTTGTTCTTTTCCATTTGCCTAGCCCACATTTTTTTGTTCTTTTCCATTTGCCTAGCCCACATTAGGGTTTAGGGTTTAGGATTTTTTTTTTGTCCTAGCCCACTTTTTTTTGGACTTTTTTTTCTAATTTTTTTTCCTATACAATTTCTCACATATTTTTCATTATTTCATACTATCTATCTTATCTTATTTTATTTCAATTCTTCATATTCCATACTATAGCCCTTTAGCCCTCGGTTGGAGATGGTTTTTTGTCATAGGGCTATGTTTGGCCTATGGTCCTCTGGCCCCTCGGTTGGAGATGGTAAGAAATGTAACCTTGCATTGTTAATTAAAATATTAATTTCTTGGAGGGTCAGAAGGCTAAAACGAGCCATCTGACCCTCATTCAGTTGGAGATGGCCTTAAAAATTTAGTGTTTAATCACCAGAACAAAAACTTGTTATAATATTCAAACTGAGCACAAAGAGCAGATGATAAGTATGGGCTCCAAGGAGACAAGGCATGCAACATGTTCACGTGACCATTATCAAAACAAAAGCAAAATGGGACAAAGCAAAAAAAAAAAAAGACAAATAATTCAGTCCACATTTCATAAATAGTGCCGATAATTCAGTAGTTCAAAAACAGTGGAAGCAAAGTAACAAATCAAGAAAAAGTTGACAAGCACCTAAAAAGACGTCTATACCATTCATTTTGAAAGGATTTTTTGTCCAAAGTATTTCCATTCATGTATATAAGGGAGGCTTTCCCTCATTGTACACACACCTTAACACCTACACACACCACACCTTAATATGCAAACACACAAGCATAGAGCATCTAAAGCCTTTTTAACATCCTTTGCTTACTTCTTTGTAAACACTTCTCTTTGTAAACATTTTACATATTTCAGTAAAAGTTCAAGTGTACATATTCAAGCAATCTCCAGGTCTTAAGTAAGTGTTCTTTCTTTTTTTAGTGTGTATGTTTAATTAGACTTCTAGTCCAAAATAGGAAAACACTATTGTAGTTATATTATTAACTTGCTAAACTGACCTTCATACTTTGTTCGAGCACTATGTTGTAGTTAAATGTTTGCCATACAAATAACTGGACATTAATCAGGGTACCTCTGAGTTCAGCCTCTAAGGCCTTATACCTGCATTATGAGTAGCCGTCATGCTGAAGCATGTTGAGTTTTATGTGCAAGGTTTTAGTCTAGTTGTTATAATAGTCGTCCGACTATTTAACTGTGTCTTTGTTTCGAATTTGGTATCAAAGCCAAATTTAACATTTTAATAGTATAATTATAATAGTAAAATACCTTGAGTACGAAAGTCATTAACGACTAATATCACACACTTGTTTAATTTTGTATGAATTAATACTAGATATTATTGTCCTTGTAGACCCTGTCAACCACAACTGCGAGGTATCTTTTGTCCTAGACACCCAACTATAACTAGCATAAAGAGAAGGTTAGCATATATTTCCAATAGAACTAATAAAAAATATATCAAAGCTTTGACACAAATTAGTAAGTTAGATAAAAATCCAATAAGTGTAACAGATTTTTCAACACTAGTAGCTAGTAGTAATATTATCATTAGACAAAATAATTTAATTATCAATTAGTTTTAAATTTAGATGAAAAGTTAGATTAAGATGAAGAACAAATAGCATAAATAAATCAAGTTTTACATAACACATCTTCATCACTTCCACCAAATTAGAAAATTTTAACTTTAAGTACAAATAATCATATTAGAAGACCTAAGATAAATCATTTGACAATAGAAATGAAACTCTTTAGAAGAAAAAGAAAAGAAATAGTTAGAGCTGAAGATATTTATTCAAATGAAGAAGAAGCACAATAGTGTATTAGAAGAGGATTTGAGAGAACACAGAAAAATAAATATAATTTGTATCAACTAGGTTTATTTGAAAATAGAAGTAAAAATAGCATCGGTCAACATGAAGTTAGATGTATTGATAAATAAGTTACACTTAAACTTACTTGCAAAGAAACAATTACTCACTTGAGAAAATCACATTTTAATCAGATTCAATGTACCTATTAATTGTAATATCACGATTAATCAGAGTACATGTAGGCATTAGTGTACATATATGATGATAGATGGAATAATCACCAACAAAATGCAATAACAACAGATGAAGTAGACTTAAGTTCAAATTTAGCAGTTATAAGTTGCATTCTTAATTATGTTATGACAATTAATGAATTTAGTAAATTTATTAAAGTAAGCATAAGAACAAAAAAATTATAATATGAAAAGAGAATATAAAAATTTATATGTTAGTTTAATGTATATACGAAAAATGTCTGATAAATATAATGATAAGTTTAATTTAGAATTTCAAAATTTTGTTCAAACATTTGGTAGTAAGCATGTAAATGTGTTAGAAGCTAAACTCGTAGATAATAGCTTTTTAGAATGAACTCAGTGAACGTTACCTAATTTACAAGTAGTAAGAAATAGACAACCAGATAGTGTACAAATATATGACACTAGTATAGGAAAAGCAACATTTAAATGTAGTAATTACAAGCAATTTGAAAATATAGAAGATGATGAGAACGAAATTGAAAATGAGAGTATTTATATGACTATTTGATAATTTAGATATTATTTTAGTTGAGCAAAATTTTGATCATGTTGTAGACAAGTTTATAGAAAATATTGATAATTGAGATGAAGAACAATATTTAGAAAAATACAAGACATATGATTTAGGACTACATAGAATTTTAGATGGAGAGATGAAAAAAAATAACTTTAGAAATAGCAGTAGAACATATTTTAGAAACAAAAGAATACAATAATTTACTAGAAGTAAAAATTGAATGTAATTTAACTATTGTTCTAAAAGCAACTAACGTCATTTAGGCCCTGCCTAGGTGCTAGGTGGCTGGACACCACCCCGATTAATGCCCATGTGTTTGAAATTAAGAAAAGGTGCCTAGACCTACTGAAGCGTCCGCCTAGACCACCTAGGCACCTGTCATGGTCGCGACTCACTTAGGAAGAAAATATATAACTTTCATTTTGCATTTATTTTTTTTCAATAATTTGCTGCATATTTAAATGAACATACATTACTTCCTTGTTCCTTATGTTTTCATTATGTTCTAATACTTCATAATATATATTTCATTCTATTTTTTAGTTTATAATGAAATTATATATATTTTAAGTATAACCAGACACTTATTTACAAGAAATATAATAAATTTACTTAAATTTGCCTAGTCTGCCTAGGCCTCGCCTAGCCACCTAGGAGCTAGGCCCTTGTCCACCGCCTGATTAGTGTCTTTTTGAACATTGAATTCAGTAGAAGAAAGTAGTACATCAGGAATAGAAAATATTCCAGGATACACAGTTAGAACTTATCAACAATTTTTAAGACAAACAAATGAACAATATAATGAACAAGCATGAGTATATTATATGGATGAAAAAATGATGAGACCCCTAGAAAAAATAGGATACCATACTTAAAAGGATTAGAACAAATTAATATAGCAGGTAATATATTAAACTTAGATAATGTAGATCCATAAAATTAGGAGAAAACAATTGAAAGATGGAAAAAAACCTTGTGTACATGTAACATTAATTTTAGATTTTGGTAATTCGCAAAATATGTTAGATTATTTTGAGCATACTTTAGATGGATTAGTTTTTTTTTAGTTTCAATCATGGAAATTTCAAAATCCAGAACAGCATAAGGTAGCTAAAATACATTTAATATAGATGGTTTTGTTACTTTAATTAAAAAAAAAGAAGATCATAATAGGTTAGATGACAGAAGTGGACAAAAACAAATAAGAGTAATTAGAAATTTAGACTGTGGAGCCAAAAATAATCACAAGGCGACACGTGAATTTTTGGATAAAAGAGGGCAAAAATACCCTTGAGGTACAATGGGGTTCCTACGCGCGAGCACCGTGCAATCATCCTTCAACCAGATCAAAAGTGCCCAAAATAGGTAACAAATTCAAAGTTATTTCATCCATCATCATCCTATATTTTCACAAGGTAAGTATTTCATAACCTTCAAAACATCCCATATAAATTACATAACCCCCAAAATATTTATTCCAAAAATGTGTTGATTAACCAATTAATGGATTAATTACCTAATTAATCCATTAAATCACACATTAAACCATAAGTTACACCCTAAAAAATATCCAAAGGGGGCCGGCCACCCTATCCCTATAAATAGGCTCCTATTTTCACCAAAATATTATTCCAACACACTTGCAAAGTTCCCAATACTCTCCAAACACTTTTCTGTCTAAATTCTAACTTTGGCATTAGAGATTCTTCAGCCAAAGCTCCCCATTCATCGTGGGTGCATGTGGCTCTTGGCCTTGACCCTAAGGTGTTAATTGTTTTGTAGGTGCAACTTGGCTCGGCCGCATGCTTACAACAATTGATCACTTCTGCTACCGAGTGCACTAAGGTAGCCTACGGTTTCCGAAAGACTGCTTATGGCTTGCCCTTCGAGCAATAAAGCCTCACTAGACTTATACAACCGCACATTCTTGTGAAAGGTTAAACAAGCTAGCGCGCATATACGGAGCTTTATCCACTACCGACATGCTATGTAGTCAATAAGCTTCACCTCTGCCAAGCGCGGAACAACCTACACCAAGTCCTAAAGTGTTGTGATACTTGCTACGCAACCTACGAAATTGGAGAAAGTCAAGGTTAACAACCTAGTGATTACGCAGACTTGTCTGCTTCTCTAAGTAAGGCATCCGGCTGCCAACCCTATGGCTAACAACTTTACAAAGTTCTACACCAACACCTATGGTTGCATAGGCTACGCGAGCTTGTCTGCTTATAAAAAAGTAGCATGCCTGCCACTGGTCTATCAAGTCTAAAGGTTAGGGCATGAACAAAAGAAGCAAAGATGAAGAAAAACGAAGGAAAACATGTTTATAAACAATTAGCAAAGGCCGAAGGAGTTCAAGCAAAACAAGAGCTACAAGAAAAAACAAATAAAATCCTAAAGACTACCTAGAAGACTATAACAGCTTGGACATCTCACGACTACTCGGTCGCCACACCTTCAGCAGCCGTAACGCTCTTAGCAGCGGCATCATCCGACGCTTCACCCCCAACTGCCCCAGCCTGGGCACTAACTTCTCCAACTACTTCACCAATGGAAGCCTCAAAAGTAAAAACAAGCAAGTCTTTCGGAGAAATAGAGAAGGTCTTGAAACCTCAAGCCCATCCTTCTTACCCTTCAGCTACTCATTCTTCTCAAGCAGACTAACACGGATGCGCTGCAGCTCATCCACTCCCTTCTTCAAACTTTCGTTGATCTTCAGTACATCTTGAAGTTCCAACACTTGGGGTTCAAGCCTATCGACGATTTTCTTGAAGTGGATCACTTGATTATAAGCGGTAATCAACTCTTTATCCTTTGTATAAACAATGAAACGAAGCTCAAAAACTGCAAACTCAAGATCTTGAATCTGAGGTATGTAATATCCAATCTCATTCTCTACACTTTCATACTTAACTTGGATCATGTTAAGCCTAGTCTTCAAGTCAATGATCTTGTGGCGAGCGGTCTCAAGCTGCAGAGAAGTGAGGGCAGAAATATTAGACCTTTTCAAAGCAACAAGCTTAGAATCCAACCTCTTGATCTCCTCAGCTGAGAAATAAGCTTCAGCTGCCATAGTCTTCGCCACCTCCTTGGAAGCCTTGCTATATATACATCATAGCAAGCAGAGCAGTCCTTCTATATTGGGTTGTATGCTTCGCAAAGGAACTTGGGCAAACAACCTTTCTACCACCATCAACAAACTTGGCACAAGTGTCCATGTCTTCAAGCAGATCTAGTTTCAAAAGCACACAGATCTCAGCAACTTCCCCAAAAGCAGGCTTAGTGGATTTCTCACAGCTGCCCACGCGAGCAGTCTCTTCCTTCCTAACAGGATCAGTCTCAGCAGCAAAGGGAATGGGCCTTGACGCCACTTTAGCAGAAGAGTCCATTTTATCGCTATTCATAGTAGCAAGCCTCTCCAAAGGTGAACCAGCTTAGCTTCCAACAAACATTTTGGTACAGACTTTGGCATTAGGGGCATGACAGGACCTTTATGTTGAGAAATCCTATCAGCAATTGTACTAGCCATTCTCGACATGGCAGGTACCACAGGCTTAGATCTAGCAACCTCATTTTTTCTTCCCATTGGAAGAAGTTATGTCAATCACAAGCATTTCGGCAACAGGCAGACCTTCATGAACAGCACAGGAAGTTTTCAGACGTTATCAACCGGCATCTCTTGAGCAGGTGGGGAAGATTTTTTCTTTCCACCATCATTCATAGTAGGCTCCACGACAACGATCAGACGAGCCAATGCATCCGCCATGATCCTCTTTACCTCATCTTTCGGGAGCAGTCCACCTTACTTCCGGTGAATAGAACTAAGTAGCCAATGCCATTCACGGTACTCAGCAGAGGAGATCAACCCAACATTCTAGCAGGCAGGAGGCCTGTATGCCCATCATTCCAGCAACCCATGAAGCCCACGACCTCTTCATTTCTTTCAGTTGCCAGCCTGGCTCGAGTAAGGTTTAAGAGCCCAAAGGACATGAGCCATGTGGCTTGCCTAGCACTGCACCCCAGCGCCATAATCCGCGGCCCCGGTCGTACAAGTTGCCCTTGGCTCTAGCCAAGCCAAACCACCCAAGCAGTGGCCCCTGCCACGACGCCTCATCGGCCCATGCCGAGCCGACTTCTGGCCCCTGCCAATCGATGTGCCACACCACCCCGACGGCTGCCCCGCAATAGCACTATCCAAGAAGAAGACAATAAAAAATTAAATTTTTCTTACATCAGTGTAGCACGAAGAAGACGAAGAAATCAATGAAAGACGATCCTTTGCACGGGCAAGATGTAGAAGATTGCTAGAGGAGGGGGAACAAATATCCTCTAAGCTCTCTCTCTCTTGTAGGGTAGAATAAATCGCTCTCCAAAGTTGATTTAATAACCCACTTAAGGTGGACTTAAATAGGCTTTGAGAGAAATTTATTTTCCTTTCCTAGAAGGACCTAATTTCCTATTAAAGAGGGAATCTACATCAAAATAGGAAGCAATCCTATGTTTCCTAAAGCAAGATGATCTCTACACCTGCTGCCCTTTCCTACGAGCAGCCCAATAGGTGTGGGGGCATTTGTGGAGCAAAAAATAATCACAAGGCAACACGTGGATTTTTGGACAAAAAAGGGCAAAAATACCCTTGAGGTACAACGGGGTTCCTACGCGCGAGCAGCGTGCAATCATCCTTCAACCAAATCAAAAGTGCCCAAAATAGGTAACAAATTCAAAGTTATTTCATCCATCCTCATCCTATATTTTCCAAAAGGTAATTATTTCATAACCTTCAAAACATCCCATATAAATTACATAACCCCCAAAATATTTATTCCAAAAATGTGTTGATTAACCAATTAATGGATTAATTGCCTAATTAATCCATTAAATCACTCATTAAACCATAAGTTGCACCTAGAAAAACATCCAAAGGGGACCGGCCACCCTATCCCTATAAATAGGCTCCCATTTTCACCAAAAGATCATTCCAACACACTTGTAAAGTTGCCAATACTCTGCAAACACTTTTCTCTCTAAATTCTAACTTTGGCATCGGAGGTTCTTCGGCCAAAACCCCCCAATTCATCGTGGGCGCGTGAGCCTCTTGGCCTTGACCCTAAGGTGTTAATTGTTTTGTAGGTGCAATTTTGTCCAAGATCAAGGAGGAAGAAATTTGCATCCACATAGACCAATTTCAAATTTGTGATTTACAGTATATAATTTAATTGACCTCATATTGCTTTAAATATTTAGAAAGAACAGATAGAATTAGTAATATTAATTTATTAAATACTTATATGACAAAAATAAAATGACCAATATGATAGAAAATTTGAAATGAATGACAAAAGCATCCAAAGAAAAATAATATTGCAATAGGACCTAGAATTCAATATGTACATGATATACTTAGACAAGAGTGTAGCCAAATAAAAGCTAAGAGACAAATTAGAAAGCGATTTTATATGAGTTGTAAGAATATAGATTTACCACAACAATATGGTTGTCATAGGAAGAATAAGCATAAGAAAATGTACAAAAAAGAAATACAAGTCATACAAATCCTATAAACTATATAAGAATTTCAGTATAAGATCTTCAAGAACATATGGAAAGAAAAAAAATATATTCCTAGATAATTTAGGAAAAGAAGTGGTAAAAGCACATAAAGATAAAAATAGTTGTAAATGTTATTTATGTGGAGAAGTATGACATATAAGACTAAAATGTCCAAAATTAGGAAAATAGTCGAGAGATAAAGTATATTTGATAGAGTTATTCAAATTAGAAGAAGATGAAGATATATAGTAAAAAACTGCAAAAATGTACGAATTTCTGGGTAAATTTTAAACAACGATATCTTTGTCATTTTTCAGCCAAATTACATGATCTAAATATGGAAATTCATCTACTCGATGAGACAAATCTAATTATGGTGGCTAGAAACCTCACCTTGGTTGGAATCAGCAAGAAACTCGCTGGCAAAGCTCTTTGAACAGTGCAATGAATGAGAGGAGTTTGGGGGGTCTTGCTTTGCTCCTGGGTTCGTGGGTTTACAATGGTGATGGTGGAGTTGTTGTCATTGTTTGTTTGTTTATGCCTTCCGGAGAGGGAAAGTTATATAGAGAAAGGTGAGAGAAATGAGAGAAGAGAAAGTGTAGGAGAAAGAAAGAGAGCTGAGAGAGTTAGAGGAAGAGAAATGAGGTGGCAGCAAGAAACAGGTTGAGAACATCTGGAAGGGGACACGGGAATGAGGGAGAAGGATGGGGAATGGCTTCTACTCGGCTCACATTCCAATCCCATAAAAGGTAAAAACCAAAAAATATCTCTCGCTATGTGAAATTACCAAAATGCCCATCATGTTCGTAATTTCGTAGAATTTTTGTCGTGACTCTGAATTGGATTCCGCTTGCGCTTACGCGTTCGAACTGTTGAGTACTTCGAGAATACGGTAAAATAATAGTTGTATGCATCACAACAAGGGGCATTTTCATCAAATCACTCTTTTAAAATTCATAAAATCATAAAATTAGGGACGGTTGTTACCATCGACATCAAACTGTAATTATTTTATACAAAATTAATTATAAATCTAATTTTAGATAGAAATTTGGGAGCCTCAACTACGATTAATTTATCCAAAACAAAAAGTTTATCATGATACTTCCAGATTTGTCCAGACCTTTACTTCTCACACAAAAAAGCCAAAAATTCTCCATGTTCCTCACAACACCTTTGCTTTTTACCAACCAAATCCAAACCTAACTCGTCAACCTCCACTCAAATACAACAAAAAATTGAAATTGCTCAATCTTTACCAAGAATTCAAACTCAAAACTCAAAGCAGATATGAAAGAGGAATCCTTTCAGCCATATCTCTTTTCGGAGTGTTGTTGCTGGGTTCACAAGAACATAGTTACAGAGATGAGGATGAATAGGTTCGATTTGTAATCGACATCGGTGTGTGAGGACATTTAAGAGAGTGAATCTCAGGATAGAAGAAGTCAAGGCTAGGCAATGGAGAGGGAGATGATGGATGATATGAGCATATTCATGCGACTTAGTTAGCTTGTTCTTGTGCATTTATGTTGTTTTTCTTTAGTTATTTTAGTGTTTAAAGTCATTTTCATGCAATTTCAGGTTTATATGGCTAATGTGGCAAAGAAGTGCATTTGGAGCCTTTTTGGAGCAAAATTGGGCTTGTAAAAGATGACACATTCTTGGAGCTAAAGAAATGGACGAAATTGAAGATCAAAGGAGGCTAGGAATGAATAGTGGAATGAAGAAATGAAAATGAAGAACAAAGAGTTCAAAATTGGAAACCAAAGTTTCTAAAGTTGGAAGTTGCTATTCTTGGAGGTTTCCATTCTTGAAAGTTTCTATTCTTGGATTGGAAGTTTCCTAATCCTCTCTCACCTATGTTCTAAGCCCTTGCCGTGCCTTTCCTAAGCCAATTCCATGTGGATTCTGATATGGCCAGCCTTATTCCTTGTGGATTTGGGTTATACAAATCCTTTTCAGAAACTAAGTGGGCCAAAACCCTTTCCTTGGTGGATTAAACCCTTTTGCCGCAAACCCTAGGGCCTAATCCTTTTATTTCTGCTAAGTTAAACCCTAATCTATTTCCCCTAGGGTTGTGCCACACCTATCACTTCTAGAAGCCTAAAAATCTGCACAAACCCTAGTTCTTTTCTCCCTTGGATGGGCCAAGCCTTTTAATCTACAAAACCCTAACCTTATTCCATCAGATTTTGTGAAAACCCTAGCCTATAAATATAAGTTTTTCAGCCACAAATTTGTCACCACCTCTCATGCCATTTAGAAACATCTTTGCCGCAACCCTAGACACCATTCTACATCATTCATTCAAGCCATTCACTCCCACACATATTCAGCCACACCCTTTCACCCTCATCAGCCATCCCACACCATTCTTACCATCCATCACCCCCCAAAACATCACCCATCTCTTGTGCCGTAGCAAGGAAGAAGGAGGAGAGCCCTTGGACGTGCTTGCCATTCGAGTTCGAGTTGCTGGGATGTTTTAGGTGTAATCTTTCTTTTGTTTTCTATGTTTCAATTCAATAATCTTTGTTTTGTGAGTATGAGGAACTAAACCCCTATTAGCTAGGGGGAATTTCGAAACCATGGCTATGCTTGCAATATGATTTGATTACATCTAGTTGTGATTTCATGAATTGTGAATTCAATTTACTTATCTGTTTGAATTAAAATGTGTTTATGTATGTGAGTTGAGAGTGCACACTTAATTTGTATGCATAAATATGATGCTAGGATATAAGGGAGTTTCACCTAATCGTTATGAACTTATATTCATAAGTAGTAAAGGTTGTTAGCCACAATCATCTTAAGTAAATTCCTGGCATAAGTATCATTC